TACAAAAGCTTTGCACACACACACGAACCCACACACAATGCTTTGCTAAGGGAGCCGATTTTGTCAAGAGGGAGCGAGAAAACTGCTTTTTGAGCAAACCTTTTATTATTGAATCATGGTTGGTGTGTTACTTTGAGAGTTGAATTTGACACTTATTGTATCAAGCCGTTCAGAAGACGCATAACGATCACTGATTTTTTTAGCAACGGTTGCAATCAACTGCTGCGCCTTCTGATCCTACCCAATAATTACAGGTATTGTCTTCCCAGAGAGCGCATATTCCTTATCTGCCTTATTAAAAAAAAAAACATTGTTGCCCACACTGAAAGGTTTACTGATAGGGAAAAGGGATATTTCCATACCCCATATACCATATATGTATACGTACCTTCTTGCAGAGAACTTATTTAATTTACAAAAGGCGGAAAAAATATTTGCTTATAAATAAATTCAAAATTTGTTCATTTTAAACGTTCTTTTGGTTTGAAAAATTATAAAAATTAAATTGAGCGAAAATAAAAAGCAAAGCCAAATAAAAATAAAAGAATCAACATTGAACTGCGTCAAAATGAAAATAAGGGAGCACGAATTTCGATGTGAAACAAAACTCTCTGGGAAGACAATATCTGTAATTATTGTACCATGGTTTCAATCATGATAAAAATATATCTGTAATTATTGTACCATGGTTTCAATCATGATAAGGTACAATCGCTGAGAGCCAACATTAGGAATTTTGACGTATGCTAGCATTTTGAAATTTTCTCTCGCCGTCATTTCGTTTGTTTGATTTTATTTTTACTCAAACCAAAAGAATATATTTCTGTCGAAACAACCATGATAACACATGTAATAACTCATTTAAAACGGTGCAATTTAAAACCCTCACATATGAAATGTCAAAATTTGTTTGCACAAAAAAGGCAAGTTTGCGCGGAAATTTTGTCACGCAAATCTGCGCAGTGTGAAGTGCAACCTTCAATCAACTATTTTGTTTACTTTCATTTTGATTTGTGCTCAACGCTTTTTCGTAAGACTTAAATATTTTCTTAAATTCGAGTTTCAATTGTTCAACTTTTTAAATTAAGCATTGTCAAATAATTAAATGTCTGAGATTGCACAGAATATAAAATTGTCCTCATGAAACACACTGCGCAAAGTTGCCCAATTGCCCAAATATGAAACTTGCGCGTAATCACGA